CAAAAATATTTGAAAATGATCACTAAATTCCTAAGCACCTACCCCATGTGCAAACTCATAACTCTCAAAAAGCAGAGATTGACAGAGGACTGAATGATACATTTTTTCTTTATTTTTCTAAAATTTGTATGTGAGAAACATATTCAAGGAATAATCGCCATTATAAAAGTCTAAAAATAATCATTTTGTTTAAAAATTGTTTGCATCATAGTATTAAGCGACAGTTTTGCACATATTTTAGTAACACTTGCAAGAAAGAAGGAAGCACTTAACTTTTTTGGAAAGTCTATGTACATTTAGTGTCAATGCGTTTTCAAAGAATAGAAGTAATTTGCATCACTGCATCAAGTCTGTATCGTCAGCATGACTAACATAGGACTGTATGTTCATTTATTCTTGTTTGCTGCATACTGTACGTGTTTCCTTTGTGTTGCAAATATTTATTTTATTATGAATGTCCGCTCTTAAGAATTGCTTTATAACTCTGTTCAGTACTAGTACAGAAATTTTGAAGAGCCAGGTTCAGCCATAGAACCTTAAGTTGTTGTTTCTTAGACGAAAAAAAGGATCTGCGAAATTTCCACTTGCACTCTGTTTTTCCTCCCAAATACAATTGAGCATTTCTTACTGAAATATTCTCCAATTATTCCTCCAATAACTCGGAAAGATCGGCAAAATTTTAAACAGGAAGCGCCCCATCATATTCTTGTAAAATATTCAATTTTTTCAGTTAGTTTTACAACCTTGCAATAAAGTTACATCCCTTTGTCTGGAAAATTACTAAGTATTTCTGCTGTATCCTTTGTACTTTTGATCTTTCCCAAGCCATGCCAAAAAAATAGACAGAGTTTTTTTTTTTTTGGCAGAGATCGGATTGCATCACATTATTGCTAAGATTTTGCAATGCATCAGTTTTTAATGTCACATAATTATGTTTGAGTGGGTGATTCTGTCAATTTGGCAAAGAGTGATTAGAACTTTCAAAACGCAAACTTTTTGTGTCGAATAAAACCCATCAAAGATAATGGTTTGAAAGACATGGTGAATCGTTGCAGGCAATGGGTTAAAACAAAACTTTTTCTATAGCATGACTGAGTCTTTATTTTTCAAGGAATCCTCAAGTTGTTTATTTTTAGGTACCTGTTTTTCACTGAAAAATTTCGATCACGAAAGGAACTTACGTGATTTATTATCTGCATTAGTGCAGTCAGCTGTCCAAACAGTAAAATACAGCTGCATATTCTTAGCAGCGTGGAAACCCATTTCGATGGTAAAACTCTCAAACCACGAATCTCGTTCGCAGTGTTTAAAAATCCCCACTCCCATTTTATTATTTTGAAAGAGGGCAAGTCTGCATCATTCCCAGTGGCGCGGCGTGCTTTGCGATGTATCGATTGATCTGTCATCTAAACCTATGGAAAAGAATCGATTAACAGGATGTTCGCAGCGAACACCTTAATAATCAAATCTTTACCAAGGATTCAAATGGGGAAGATCGATAATCGATCATTTACGCCACGCCACCGATCATTCCCTGAAATTTGTCCAGGATTTGCTTATTGTCGAGAAGAAAAATCATTGAATATTTTAAGGAATCACATTAAACAGTTCTCCGTTTTAAAAATGAAGTACAACAGCAAGTCTGCAAATTTGCAAACTGAGATACATGGTTTGGGAGTTTCATGGCAGATTGATATATCTTCAATCCATGCTACATGGAAAAAATTCTCTCCTTCTTGACTCAGCCATGAATGCCAAATAATATGCAATCGAGATTGTTCTGGAAGCAGGAAAGTTAACTGACAAAAAATTGACTTTCAAAAGCTGTTCTGCAGCAAAAAACAAGTGTAGTTCGCCAATTTTTATTCCAGTTACATAGGTTATTACACTTAAGATACCATTATCCTCGCTCTTTTTAAACAACATATTAATTGTGGAAGTCTTGATGAGTACATCTTGACAAGTGACGTTGCAGATTTCTTACAATTTTTTTCAAAGGAAAACACACGATTTTTATCTCTTGGAATTTTTTTCAATTTATGTAAAATTTAAAATAAATACTAATTATGTATGTTTCTGTAATCGCCCCTATCTGTTAATTGGAAAATTAGCTGAACTATATCATAGATGGGAACCATCAGTTGGTTCCTTCTTTATTGCTTTAAAGTGAGTCTTGTGACCCAATTCACACTTTTTCCTGTGGAGAATTCTCTCCAGCAGACCTCCCTTGTTTTCCAAAACACATGGTTCCTTTGTTAAACACTGCCCTTTAGGTAATTTGAAATACTCTTAAAGATACCATTTGGAGACATTACTTAAAGTGCATAACATGCATTTTTTTTAATTTTTTATTTTGCAAGTTAGTTGATTATGTATTACATTTTGATTTGCTAACGATTATTTTGCTCAAAAATGCTCATGTGTTTTACTGTTGTTCATTCAGATGTATTCCATGCAAATGCTGAAATATCCATCATTCTGTCAGCTCTGTTATGAAATTAATAAGGACTGTCCTTGTTACAGGGTGTCTAAAGATATGGTAACTTTGAAAAGTTCGAATTGTCAGAGGATTACATCTGATCAGGGCAGTCAGGGAATTTTACGAATAAGACTGGAAGTTAGACAAATCTTAAAACTTGAAATCATCATCTTGAAAAAATATCAGTGCTGTTCATACAATCAAACTGAGTTTTAGTCAGTGGCGAGGTGTGAATGATCGACTATCGATATTCCCTCATTCGAAGCTGTGGTAAAGAATAGATTATTAAGGTGTTCGTTGCAAAGACCCTGTTTATCGATCCTTTTCCATACGTGTGGCAAATGGCAGATCAATTGATATATTGCCACGCCACTGGTCTCAATCTGGTTTGACATTCAGTATTCTGAGTCACTCTCTGAATAGTGAATAGAGAAATTGTTGTAGCAATTTCTGTCATTTGCATGATTAATACTCGAAGATAAAAGCTCATATGCTTTATACCATTTGCAGTGAAATGAAAGCCCAAAACTGTTCATTTTCCGTTGTACACATGTGCATTGTTGTCATGAAAATTGATGTGATCAGAAAATTTTGATTTTTTTGGTGAGAAAAACTTCGTAAAGTCAGTGAACTTTTTCCGCCGTGTCTGTAGACACCTTCGGCGAATTTTTGCGAGGGATTTGGTTGAGATTTTTAACTTGCCAACCTCTGTTACAATAAAACGAAATACCCTCGGGGCGACGATGCGCTTACTACATTTTTCTTCGTGCTGGCAGTAATTACGACCACATCCAAAATTTTTGACCCACCTTCCGCGTTGGATTGAAAAGTGGATGGATGCAAACGTTGGCCTAAATTCATCAAGCAACTGAGTTTAGTTCTTGACTTTAGCAGCGTTTTTTTCCTTTAGTTCGTAACCCTGCTAATCTGGTTGAAAAAGTCAACCAAATCCACTCGCAAAAATTTGCCTCCTGTTGTGAAGAAAACTCTAAACTAAAGCTCTTTGTCTTTTTAACCTCTGTTAATTTTTATATTGTACGAAGCCAGTAGGTGTATAGTCAGTAGTTTTTTTGCCCTAACATGATTAAGCTCTCTATTTACTTTATTGTTGTCATTTATTTTTTGTCTTAATATTTTCGCAATTTTTCAATAAGAAAGCAAGAGTCAAAAAATCATGCACCAATTTTTTCAACTAGATTTTATTTGCAGTGCATGTAAAAATATTTTTCATGCTAGTAATACATTTTTAATGTAATTACTTCCTACAACTGATCTTTGAAAAACCAATGTTTGAACAATTTCACGCATCCATGCGAAATAAGTCCATCCAGTTTTGGAGTTTTAAAAAGAACCCCTCTATTAGTAAGCTGGACTGGATTCTAGGACTAGAGTTAGCAGGTTCGTTTTTAATTCTCGAGTGGACTACATTTTGCGATTGGGAACTACAATTTCCGGCTCATCTGTTAAAACACATGCATAGGGAAACTAATGGTACATATGTTGTTTCTAAACTGAGCTAGACATTGTAGTTCCTAATTTCATAGTGTAGGCCAAGTGATGTCGAAGTGGAGGACTGAACAGTGAAAAAACACTTTACGACCTGGAAAAGACGGAAGGTTTTTCCTTGAGTTGCCACATGCATAGGCTCATTTTGGGTAGTGCTGATCAGGGAAGAATTGCATTATGCAAAAGAATTCTATTTACAGGAGATTTTAGAACCCCTAACAACCTCTATGTGTCCATCGGATTCTTGTTTGGTCTTTGCAAGCTCTCCTTATTTTACCTGAATCTAGAGCTGAGGGCCGATTATTGAAATTTATAGACAAAGCTATAGACAAAGAAGAAATAAGCAGAATACAGTGATCCTATTGGCTGAAATGGGTGGCTCCTAAAGGCTAAGGGGGTAAATGATGGACTAACTATCGGGACTCTCTTGGGTTTGCCGTTAGTTAATCTATTACCTACGTCCTTTGTCCATTGCAACCACCTGCTTCCACCAATAGGATCCCTCCATATCCTTTGTGTCTTCTTTGTCCATTGCTTTGTCTATCAATTGCAATAATCAGCCTGCTGGGGCAGTTTCCTTTATCTCAGTGAGCATCCCTATTTAACATTGTTACCAGTTTTAAAATATTGCATTTGTGTCTTCCCTTTAAAGCTACCTGTAGACTGACTTTTTTTGTACCGAATTTTTTCAACAAAAATTGAGTGTTCTCATTTCTTTGCGTCTTAAAATTCTGATAAAATCTCCTCATTAAAGTGAGTCTCAATCATGAGATTTCCTCTTTTATGTATTTCAATTTTTAATTTAGAAATTTGTGCCAGAGTAGAAGCAACAATTTTTAATTTGGATAAAGTCATTTTTCATTTAATTGTATCTCTACATGAAATGTTACATTCCAAGGAGTCTGATAGAAAATTTGTGTCCTATGTTCTTGCCAAGTAATTCTAGTTCTTGCATTTTTCTTTTTTTCATATTTCTGTGCTCTAAAAATGATTAATTCGTCCACTTCATTTTCAGGCATTGCGGCTCAGCAAGACAGCTTTGGGTGAAACCACTGCTGGACAAATTGTGAATTTGTTGTCAAATGATGTCAATAGATTTGATGTAGCAATTGTTTTTGTTCATTATCTCTGGATCGGCCCATTGGAAACAATCGTTGTAACATATTTTCTGTGGACCGAAGTCGGAGTTTCATCCATCATTGGGGTGTTTGTTCTGTTGATGTTCATTCCCTTGCAAGGTAATGTTCACTCACTGTCACTGAAATTTCAAGAAGGAAATCCCTCTATCTTAAAAAAAAGGAGAGATAAATGGAATTTTGTTTCTTGGGTAATATCATATTGATTTCAATCAAAAAAGTGAAAAATAAATACTAGTTTCCAAATTTTTGAAGCTAAGTAAATGCAGTTGATTTAAATTAAGACAATGCTTTTCAAAATGTTTCAAAATGCTTTTCGGAAAACCGAAATTTTCTTAGAAAGCTTTGAGGAAAACCATTATTTTCTTTGGAAAATTAGCTTTCTCAATTGTTCAGCAAAAACCTTTCGCTCAAGTTGAAGGGACTAGGTCAGCAAGGCCTTCTTTTTTTGCCTGTTTTTTCCTCATCATTAGCTGAGTAAATATATATGTAGGTAATGTCCTTCTTTTGTCTGCTGTCTGAAGTAATATTTCTAGCTTTAGTATCCTGCCAGTTGTTGGTACATACTCAAATGAATTTCGAGGGTGCTATGTAACATCAACTGGTTGGGCAAACTTTTTGAAAAGAAAATATGTTACGATATTCCTTGAACGTTCCTCAAAAAATGTCCTAAAAATTCAGAAAAAGCCCTTTAAATTCCTTGTTGAACTCATCCAATTTCCCCAAATTTGTTTTGATTTGGCAAAATAAAAATGTGAAATTTGTCCTCCAACTTAGCCGTCTCTATACAGGCCTTAGGGCCCTCCAAAAAGCACATCATTAAAATACTCCCCTTTTTAAAAAATGTTTTTATGAATAGTAGATCTAAACGTCTCTGATAAGTTTAGGGAAGTTCCTTAGTTTATCCTCTGGTGTCCACCTCTAAATGCAATTTTCTCTTTTTATTTCTCCCACAGGATGGCTCGGGAAAAAGACTTCATCTTTACGTTTAAGAACTGCCATCAAGACAGATGAAAGAGTTCGACTGATGAATGAAATAATCTCAGGGATCCAAGTTATTAAAATGTACACATGGGAAAAACCGTTTGCCAAACTAGTGGCCTTTGCGCGCAAGTAAGTTTTTGTTTCAGTTTTCATTGGTTCTGTCTCTTATGTTTAAACAAGTATTTTACATTTTAGTAATTGATATCCCAAAATACCCATGCATGCAGTGTTGGTGGTCAATGATTCTCATTTTAACAAAAGAGGCTGAAACAATACATCGGTGGATATGGAAGTAAGTTTCCGTATGCTATTCTTTGTTATTCTTTCAGCTTTTTTAGAATCTACACACAAAGAAAACTGGATTTTCCAAAGAATTCTAGTATGGTTGTTGTTTTTGTCAGACCAAAATAGCCGGAGGTTCTTGTGTTATAAAAATTTCTGTCCTACCTGTGATAAAACACTAGGAAACACTATTTTGTGTCACACAGTGTAGGCAGTTTAGTGTATCACAGATGTTGCAAGTAGGATGCTCATCAGGAGTCTGTTTCTAATGCTTGTCACATCATAAACGTAAATCAGCATTCTCTTTTTGTTGATTTCTACAGTGTTTCTAGCGATAAATAAGTGTATGTATTTGTTTGTCCAGAAATCCTATGCTACTCGAAAGATGCTGCTGGAGATGTGACCAATCAAGTTAAATCTGATTCCTGAAAAACAAATCCATACAACACAGTTATTGCTAGGAACATTGTAAGGATAATCAACAGACGTATTGATCAAAGTTTGCAATATGACTAACCTTTGCTCCTTTTTTTTGTGAGATAATGAACTGAAATCTGGGGGAACATACTAAGAACTTTGCATGTTCAAAGTTGGACATAAATGTTCCAAATGTGTGAATGGACATAGCTGAGGCAATTTTGGTCTCACAAAAGTTGCAGTTGTACTAACGTTTTTTGAAGAAATCCAGCTTTCTTTTCCGTTAATAGGATTTGAAATAGGTTAAAAACTAACAAAACTTTAGCAAAGGAAACATACTTTTAGATCTTTTGGTTACTTTTGGTTTTTGTTACCTGAGTTCCCTCTTATTAACGCAGCTCCAAAAACTTGTCCTCCTTATGATGAAGAAAAACTAGTTGTCTGTATGTATTCGGTCAAAATAATATGTATTCAAAAATGGATTTTCTTGTTTTCTAAATACATATCATTTTTCACTTTTTGTCCATGTATGCTCTTAAAACACTGAAGGTGTCTTTTTCAATTTTTTTACTGCTCCGTTTTTATTTAACCATCCTTATCTTTTGTTCCATGTTTGCAGGCGAGAAATTAAAATGATCAAAGGATCCGCCTACATTAGAGCTGTCCTACTTTCTTTTATTGTTTTTCACACACGAATTGCCTTATTTTACGCTATTTTCTCATACGTCATGTTTGGGAACACCATAACTGCCCAAAAAGTAAGTATTGTGCCCTTTTTGTTCCTCAATTTATGTATTTCAATTGTGACCTGATCTGTAGGGGTCTTATTATCCGAGGAAATAATTTTCAGAGGAAGCGATTGCATTTTGAAGTGAAACATCTCTGTCCACTCTGGAAACAGAGCCTGTTTAATTATAGCTTTGAAAAATTCGAGAACTTCCAGTCCAAAATCTAAAGATATAATCTGTAAAGTAGATAAAAATTTGACCCTCTGAGGGAAACAGGATCTTAGTGCCTGAAGGCTTTCGGGAAGCAATTTTTGCCATGTCCAGTCAAAAAATTTAAATTTTACTCTTTGATAGAAAGTACTTCCCTATCCGAAATAATAAGTCGAAAGTTGCTCAGTCCAATTTTCAGCAAAGAGAGTATGTATAATTGCACTTAGATCCAACAATTTTGAGTCCTGAATATAGGGGATTGAAACTTTAAATATTTTCCCCTCAAAACAGCATGTTCGGAACTGAGAACCTCAAATCACCAAAACTCCGTCTTGATTTGACATTTTTCATCCATTAAAAGTTTTAAAAGAGCAGTCCTGTTTGTACAAGAAAATATTCTGTCGCCCAAGCCAAAAAAATTACCTACTGAAAATCATACGCTGAATTATAGTACCCCTTTCATTCATTCTCCTCAATTTCGGAATTAGAGATCTCATTATATTAGAAACCATCTAAGTATTCTGTTTACTCTAAACCTGTCTAAAAAGTATATCTGTCTTATTGAAATACTTTTAATGTGTATTCTTAATTTAATTTATCTCTTCATCGTTTTTTTTCTTTTTGGTTGATCTTGTCAGGTGTTTGTTCTAACATCATATTTCAATATTCTCAGACAAACAATGACAGTATTCTTCCCCCAAGGTATCGGTCAAGTGGCGGAAGCGTTGGTCTCAATCAGAAGACTTCAGGTAAGGTTGTCCCTAATTAAAAAATCTTTAATTATTCAGCATCAAGCTGCAATATTCTGGTGTCAATAGGATCTTATATCTAACAAGAAAATTTTGTAGGAAAATCGTTTTTGTCAAACTAAGAATTTTTTGTGCATATTCAAGTTTTGTCATAAAAACACTCTATAATTGCAGAATGCAAATTCCAATTCAGTCCATTTTTAGTGTATTCCTATGTTCGTGAGAAAGTGTAAGTGCGTGTTTATCGCATTCTGTTATACTCTGATCATGATTAAATAAAATTCTTAGATAATTTTTGAGGGTTTATTGCTTTCAGGCTTTCTCTTTGAGGATGATTCAAATCGCATGCCCCACATTGCATGAGACGTTCTATTCCGTGAACTCGCTACTATTAAGTATCACAAAAGTGTATGGACTCCTGGGCGCAAAATCGTTTAAACGAAATATTGCTAACAATTTTAAACAAAAGATAGCAACTGTGCCCGTCTGCAAATGATTAATTAAAGAAGGATGTTGTAGAAGAATTTCCCTCCGAGAATTTTCTGATCATGAAATACTCAACTTCCCTTGGCCCCGATTTTTGTTGGCTATGGTTGACTGCAAGCTGCGGAACTCAACCTATAATTTCGCCGTGAAATTAAGCCGCGAAAATGATATTCTAAGCTCAAGCTGTATATAGTTAAAGCTTTTTTTACAGCAAGCTAAAGCAATCCTTAATTCCTGAGCAGTGCAATGCATTGATCAGGGATAGAATAACGAAGTCAACACCTTTGCCTCAACTTATGGTGGACTGCGAAACCCGTCAACAAAATTCGGGCCCAAAACTCAACATCTTCAGGGGCCCTGATCCTCGTCATGCCGAGGTTCTTTTTTAATGGAACCTTTTTATATGAATCAGTAGACATAGTGCACATCAAAAGAACGTCAACATATGTTTTCTTATCATAAATTCTGTGTAGAATGTGTTAACAATGTCTGAAAATTTCAAAATCAACCTGTTAATTTGAAATTAGCTGTCATGGTATTATATGTAAATCATTGATTTCGAACTCCCAGAAAAAATATAAATCAATATAGGTAGAACTGACCGTTAAAAACAAACCTTAGGTTTTGGCAAATAATCAGAGTTAGACATCAAAAAACTTTCCTTTTGTGCTTGTTACATGAAACTTCTAAAATTGTTAATAAATATGCAGCACTTTAAATCAATTATTTTATTGCAAAGCATAATAAAATTAACTTCATTGGTACAACTTATGGAGACTTGAGTTTCTTAAGTTAGTTCTGAGATTTAAAAAGTTGAGTGCAAGAAACGCGTATTTCCCAAGTATGAGTTGAATTAGAAAATTTTCAATGTACCCTCCGCATTCCATGTGAAATTAGATGAAAAGATATAAAATGTGTTTATGAATATCTTTCTCCGTCCAGTGATCCACTGAGTTATAACTTTGCTTATCTTGTGGGACAAAAAATTCCTGTGGATATTGGTTTTTCCTTATTTTACACGTAACCTCAATGTTATTTCTTTCCCAGAACTTCCTATTGTATGAAGAGATGGACATCAAACACCTTCCATCAAGCAAAGCGAACGGAAGTGCGGTAGATGAGACAGACAACAATGCTCTGAAGAATTCAGATAAAAATGAAATAATCACGGACAAAACCAGATCCAACCAAATTAATGATCTGAAAAACGGTGCAGCAACTGTGTTAGCAGATGTAAACGAGAACAGTATTGTCATCAAGGGTGCGAAAGCAAAGTGGTTTGAGCACAGCACAGACTACTCATTGAACAACATCAATTTGAAGATCAAAAAAGGGAAATTACTGGCAATCGTAGGACCAGTAGGTTCTGGCAAAGTGAGTTCTGTACAAATCAATTACTCATTACTTTTTATCGCCTGCCTTGTTTGTATGTAACTTAAATTGATTCCAGCCCATAGTTATTTCGGCAATCTATTCAAAACTAGCCTACATCGGCCTCTGTATCATATTTGTGGATATTATATCAAACCACACAAGCTTCGAAAAAACTAAAAAAATCACACAAAAAATTATCACATCCTCCCAGTATTTCCCCTGAAACTGTTTTGGAATCTTTTATAAGGTCAAAAGCAGAAAGTATGTAAAAAGAAAACCTTGGGAAAGCATATTATGTTTGATATTAAAAAAAGATTCACTGAGGAACGATTGCGGAAAGAACGCATAGCCAACTGCTCAACCCCCCCCCCCCCCNATTTCTCTCTTCCGTATCCCTGGAACTGCTTTTCAACTCAAGCTGAAATTTTTCCCTGAGACCTGTGGCATCATAAGCTTCAATTTGGCTCAGGCTTCATTGGTCAAATTGATTACCAAGAAAGGAACAAATTTCAGCCCTTCTCTTAACAAAGCTCTTTAATGTGACTTACTTAAATTTTTTAACTGTAACAGAGAGAGCTGTCTTGGTCAGTGGTGCGTGATTTTCTAGATGAGTCCACTACAGAAAAATGGCACATTGAGGCCTGAACAAAACAACAAACCAGAACAAAATCATTATGTCATTTAGGAATGGCTTCTTCCATTCAATGACAAGCTTACTTGAAATAAATTAATATGGTCCTCATTTTTTTAATGTTTTCAGACCTCTTTACTTCATGCAATATTGCGAGAACTTCCTCTGTTGGAAGGTTCTATAGTGACAAATGGGATAATTTCTTATGCTTCCCAAGAACCATGGTTATTTGCTGGATCTGTGCGTCAGAATATCTTATTCGGCCTGCCTATGGAAAGAGATTGGTATAAGAAAGTGGTCAAAACTTGCGCCCTCCAGACTGACTTTGACCAGTTTCCGTATGGAGACAAAACGGTGGTTGGAGAAAGAGGTCAGTTGAGTTTAATTTTTTGTTTATTTTGTGTTTCTCTTTTTTTGCAATGTCATCCCTTATTTCACTTTGTGAAATCGTTAATCCAAACCAATAAATTCAGTTGAGCAATTTTTGTAAGTCAGGTTGAAAAATGGGATTTTGAGATTCTGATGAAAAATAATTTGAAATGCCCAAATCAATAAAACGGGAGCAGTTTAGTTCATTTTCGAAAAGCTAATTGTAATCCAGTATTTTTGTGTTTTTTGTGCTCGGACAAATTCCTAGTCAGATTTTCATGCAGTACAACATTTAAATGTTCATATCTCAGAAGAGAAGTGGGTCTACCTTTCTTCTACTTTAGCCTTCGTAATATCTATCCATACTATTTATTTACACAGTTTTTTTTATCTTTGTTGTCTCGCGAAGATTTTTAAGTTTCAGACTTGCATGTTTTTGTGCCGTACAATTCAATTGTTATACATTTTTAGGCGTTCTCTTCCCAATTTGTATATGTCATATCTTTTCATATCTTATATTGTCTTGTTATATAATAGATCTGTATGTTATATCGACTCATTTCTCCATTCGCCCTCTGTTTTCAGGTGTGTCTTTGAGTGGCGGTCAGCGAGCACGTATCAATCTTGCAAGAGCTATTTACAAGCGAGCAGATGTCTACTTGCTAGATGATCCCCTTTCTGCAGTAGACGCTCATGTTGGGAAACATTTGTTCGAGGATTGCATATCACTAGCTCTCAAAGACAAGACAGTGATTCTCGTTACACATCAGTTACAGTACCTCAGTAACGTCGATCACGTTATAATGATGCAGAATGTAAGTCTCTTGAATTTTCTGCTGATTGGAAAGATCAATGTTTTAAAATGTATGCTTTTTGGACATTAAGGTGATTCGACGGTTGCCATTTTTTGTGTCCGAGCAACGAGTGATATATCTCATCAATTCGTTCCATAGTTTCAGCTACTTGTCATTTTTTTCAAATTTTGAGATCGCTTTTCTGTTGTCATGAGACTAAAGAAGTCATGTACCAAATTTGACCAAGAAATTCAATGTAATAAAGGCAGAATTTTTTCTAGAGAAAAAATATCGCAATCGAGTGCAGTTTCTATATCAGTATCGAATGTGATATTTTTCCTCTAAAACAAACCCTGCCTTCATATGTCCAATTTCTTTGTCAAATTTGGTACATGAATTCTTTACTCTCATGAAAACAGATGTGCGATCTCCAAATTAAAAAAAATGACAAGTAGCTGAAACTATGCGATATATTGCATGTCGCTCTGATACAAAAAAATGGCAACCATCAAATCATCTAAAGTGAATTTTTTCACACATATTTTTGAAATTTTTTTGAGTGTACACTAAAAATTCTTCTAAGGAATTTTCAGAATTTTATCCTCTGAGAAACTTTATTTTGAATCACGACAAGTAGTTAGTTTTGTCCTCAAGACTTTTATAATGTTAATTAAACCAATTTACACTGCTAAATTAAGTGAATAGTTTATGCATCCAAAATCAATTCAATCTCGAACTTTTGTGTAAACTAGACTCAAACATTAACCTCAATTTAGCTTAAAGGACTGTTTTAATCCTAGAAATCAAACTTTTCAAACTTGAATACATTCCTTCAGAGAAGTATGTATTGGAGATTTTAAGACCAAGATATGTTTTAAAACAACAAAATTAATGCTTTTCTGTCTAGCAAATGAAATTTTCAAAGCCTGTAAAAGCTAAATCCCATCCATCAAAAGGTAAACGTTACATGATCAGCTCAGAATTAAAACAAAGTTTGTTCAATCCTGAATAAAACTACAACTTTTCAACAAAGTGAACGTCACCAACTTGAAGGTTTGGTCAATTTTTAATTGTATTTCTTCATTAAATCAAGGTATTATAGACTTTTTCTCAAATTTCAAGTTTTCTTCCCTTATCCTTGATCTTTTGCATCAAAAAAAATGTTGACATCCAGCTTCAGACATCTTTAATTGGAATATTGGTTTTATTTACAGGGAACAATAGAAGCTGAAGGAACCTATCAAGAATTACAGAGTAGCTCAGGGAAGAATTATCTCAGTCTCCTGAGTTCTGTCAAAGAAGAGGAAGAAAAAGAAGATAACTTGACCATTTCTGTATCGACACTCCACAAACGCCAAAGCTCTGTCCAGGTAAAAATTTCTGTACATTAATTCCCATTTTCTCTGTAGCCATTTGATTATTAAAATGTTTCACTCTTCAACAGAACAAGATCGATGGCTAAATTACAAAGCCATGTTTCTCCTTTGCGATGTTTCAAAATGTCTATTCCTATTTTACTTTTATGAAGGGCAGCATGCCAACTTTATAGCTTGAAATTTAAGCAAAATATTCTTTTAACGTAGAAGGAACTAACAATCAAGGAAGTTTTCAAGAAATTACGTTGACTGGTTCTCCCAAGTAAAAATCAAGTATGACGGGAAGTCTGCAATGTCGCAGACAGAAACCTGTCACTTTGTATTTTGGCCATCAAGATATAACTAAAAAGAAATACAGTCATGTAAATTGTTGGTTAATGTAAAGGTCAAGCCTTTATCATGGCTTTGATTTGACAATCAAGAAAATTTCCTGAAGTTTTTTGGCATACTCTTTTCTGGTAGTAACCAAAAAACCTGCCACAGGAATTTTTTAAACATACCTATTGACTCGCATTCCTGCTTGAAAAATTAGTTCAGTTAAACTCCAGAGGAAGTGTGCACGCACCTGTCAGCGGCCTAATTGTTGAAATTTTGTGTTTGTTGGGTTGACATAGATGACATAGGTTAAATGGCGAAGCGTCATTGGTGGGCTATGTCTTATCGCTGCTTTGTCGGGTGGAATGGACAACATACTGTCGGAGACTCAATAGGTACCTTCAGTTTGTCCTCCATTCCACCCGACAAAGCAGCGATAAGACATAGCCGACCAATCACGCTTCGCCATTTAACTATGTTATCTATGTCCACCCGACAAACACATAATTTCAAGAATCAGGCTGCTGGTCTGTCTGATGGATGATCTTATCAGTCAAAGAAATCTGAACGACTGTTATTGTATTTAACTAAGCTTGGTGACTCGTTGATGACAAATTTCTCATGAGATAATACCTTCCTAAGCTATTTTTTTTTACTGAATATGGATATGATATTTGCAGAGTGTGGCTTCCTCGTTAGACGATCGGTACGAGGAGGATCCGCAAGAAGTAGAAGAAATGAGAACAACAGGTCAAGTTTCTGGGCAGGTCTACACAAAGTATTTTAGAGCTGGTGGCCATCTTTGCTTTGTATTTTTCCTCCTCTTCATGTGTGTTCTCACGCAAATACTTGCCAGTGGCTCTGATTACTGGATTACGTACTGGTAAGTCATGTCCTCTCTAGCGTATGTGCATCTACTGAAGAAAATTATTTGAAATAAATATCTTACTTTTAAATTCTCCCACTCTCAAATTTTATCAGAATTTCTCATTAAATATGGGAAGGAATGATGCATCACAAAACTTGTTTCCTCCTTAAAGTTTTTCCTTTCATATCTTGGATACCTTGATAATATCCTAATTTAACTGACGAGTGAGAGAGCATTGTTGACCTTGCTGGTATAATCAATTTTTCTCTTTGCCAAAGAACCAAAGTCTACTCCAATCTCAGTATACACTTAACAAATTTTTTTGTATTTCATGATCCAATACTTTCCTCAATGTGCCGGATCTCTTTTGTATTGTGCATCAAAGTGGAAAGGGAAAAAAAAGCTGATCTGTTTCGTAATCAGGATCCTTGTAACCAAACTTTCCACCATCGTATTTTTTGTAAATTGAATTCAAACTATACGTTTACTATGTTCTAGGGTTAATCTAGAAGAACATGAGTGGGCCCCAACGCTGAATAAGACATCGCATTTGAGTGCCCCTCACAATGACACGGTAAACCTTCCTTCTTTGGACTTAGAAGGAAACCCCCTATCGCAGAATGGTACACAGGCTGATAACTCTCATATGACGCACAATTTCTTCGGGTTTCCACTTGATCGCCAGTGGTGTATCTACATTTTCAGCGCGATTACTGCAGCCATGGTTATCGCAACACTTGTCCGGTCAGCTTCCTTTGTCCAACTCTGCACCAACGCCTCGATGAATTTACACAACAATATGTTCTCTGCCATCGTCCGCTCAACAATGTACTTTTTCAACTCCAATCCTTCAGGTATGTGACTATCATGATCCTAGAATGAAGAAAAGAAATTCCCTCTTTTTCAACTTTTAATTACTGAAAACCTGAATTTCCTCCCAAGCACAGACAAAATTTAATCTGAGCCAAAGTCACTTTCGGCTCAAGTACAGGAAACTTTTAATCTAAGTTTAAAGTCGAAGTTCAAACAAAAGGTTTCACAGATTTTTCTCTGGGTCCTTATTATATCCCATCAAAGGACAATAATGAAGAGCAGATTTTCCAGTTTTGGATCGCTCAATGTGCTGAATTTTTTTTTGAAAACTTAACATGCACTGAGCATCGTAGGAGAAGGAGATTTTTGTGAAATCCACCCAAGACTATTCTTCAAGCAATGAATTTGTTTCCAACTATCAACTTGACTAAAAGATGAATGTGATCAAGGAAATTTAGGTTCAAGTAAATTTTGACTGATAATTGTGCAAATTGGAAAAAATGCTGCAAGAATTTCAAGTCAAAAATATTTTGAAAAGTCAAATGTCTGATTTTCCCCCTCACCCTTCTCAAACTGCTCGAGCACGTCCTCCAACAGTCAATATCAACAGTTGGACCCGAGGCAAATTGTAATCACTGATCTTCTTGTTTATTATTTTTTAAACGTATTACTTGAGGTGCGATTGTTTCGCATTACACGACCTGTTAATGAGCAAAAGCACTAAATGACCATAGTCGTCTGAATTTCTATAAAAAAAGAATTTCAAGTTTGGACCTCATGAAAATGAGTATCATACAAGTCAAATTAATCACGCCCAATTTCTTGAGTTAGATTACACTTGTGAGTAAAGTATTTTATCGCAATTAAGATTGAAGTCTGATTAATTGTACAGTTTTAAGTTTAACCTTGATCGGTTGTTTTTTTTTTCTTTTTGGTAAGTGAGGAGTTATAATTAATTGATTTTGATGAAAAACAGTGAATGTGAACCACCCTCTCATAGATGAGACTTAATATTTTCAAAAAGTTTGACAAGTCCTCGACAACATTTTTGATCAGAAAACATATCCTATGTTGCTTTATTTTTCACATTTTTAAGTGTTTCATTGTGCCCCTCTAAATCTTTTTTTTCTTTTTCATTTTCTCTTCCCAGGACGTATTTTAAATAGATTTTCAAAAGACATGGGATCAATTGATGAACTCTTACCTCTCGCTTTAATAGATTGTATCCAGGTAAAAATACTTGTATATTGATTTCAAGTATCAACTTTTCGTCACTAGAATTTTCTCTCATTTTCTACAGTCCGTTCGGTCCGGGAAAAATGGACCGAGTTTATCAGAAAGGAACCAACCCACGTAAAGTTGAAACTGAGAAAAAAATTTTGAAGTTTCCTGCCTCCATAAGACTCAATATAGAAAATAAACTATGGCTCTCCTTCTCACAGACTAATTTTATCTTTTCTACTTTGAATTTCTGGCAGGCAAAAATATATGACCAGTGAGATTAAAAAACATTCTTAACCCAATTTTTTCGAAAATGTGGGTTGGTTCCTCTATGATGAACTCAGTCCAAATATTGATCTGATTTTTTCTTTGAATTTAGTGTCCAACCAGTATAAGCTCTCCATTTATAAATTTTCAGCTTTTTAAACCCTAAAAAATCAGCGTGCCTTGCCGAATTGTGAAGAGAAAATTTGTTTTATACAATTTTCTTGAAATTCTATCCATATAATGTCCCTAAATGCTAAAAAAATCTTTGAATTTTTCAAGAAGTCCTCAAAAATACGCCCAGAGTTTTTAAGTTTGGAGGAATGTTTTGTATATTGACTGCATGGATCATGAATTTCTGTTTTTTAATAAGGTGTCTGTTTCAATTTCACTGGAGAAAAGTATCTACGTAGAAAATTTCAATATTTTTGAGTAGAACTGAAATAATATTTTCTTTACAGTACAACCACAATAGTAATAGTAGCAGCACAGGGTCCATTGAATTCACATTTTACCATCAGTGTCTCTTTTTTTCCAGATTGGTCTCACCCTAGTTGGAATAATCATTGTTGTCGCAACTGTCAATCCTCTGCTTTTGATACCAACCACTGTGATAGGAATCATATTTTATTTGCTCCGAATATTTTACATCTCAACTTCACGCTCTGTTAAGAGGCTTGAGGGAATAAGTAAGTATGTTTTCCACTTGAAGTTTAATTTTCACAGAGCCCTTGAATGTAGATGCTAGTACATTATGAGTGAAGACATTTTTTTAAATTCTGATGCGCAATGATTAGAGATGATTCAATGAACTGTACTTTTTGCTTCCTCAGCCAAAAATAAATAGACAGAGTGCCATAAAATTAGTTTACAAGGAAGCACTAAATTTTCAATGCATTTTCCTATGATGTAGTCAACCCCTGTCAAGCCCAATGCCATGCAAGACGAATTTTCCATTAAGTCGAATTTTCACTTGGTTCCACCAAAGTCCCTTAAGGCTAATGCTATTGATTTAATTCAAATTCCAATGGGAGCAAAACAGCGTCCGCCTAACTTAAGTTAATATCCACCTTCAATGTTTTTTTCTCTCACATGTACTCAACTTTTTGGACTTGGTCTTTTTGAACTCATGGGAGGGCGCTCACAAATATTTTATCTTTCTACTGAAACTCTTAGATAATGTAGGCTGAACCCAGTGGAAATCTAAGGTTGGTCTAGCTTCCAGAAATGTCAGATCAAACCAGAGTAATGGTGGCTTGAAGTTCTCGGTTTGAGAATAAGTTATTTAAAATGCTAATCTTGTCATGTTCATAGCACATAAATGCCAGACTTAAATTCAACTTTATACCCTTTTTGAGCAAAATTAAGAACAGCTAGCAGCTCCTTTGTTCAGGACATTAAAGAGAGTTTCTCATTGAAATATCAAAATCTGCCAACAGCAATCTATGAATGATATGACTGATATCAAACATTATTGGAGCGGATGCAACTTTAAGTTTTCTTTCAATGCAAATGAAGCCTAAAATATTGTATTCTCTGGTCACTTTCAGCTCGAAGTCCTGTTTTTTCGCATTTGAACGCTTCACTACAAGGTTTAACCACCATTCGTGCCTTCGGTGCTCAAAGTATTTTAGAACAGGAGTTTGATAATCATCAGGTAAACTAGTCTCATTATTTGTTCAGTCATAGTTCCAAACTTGGACAACAGGGTGTCTACCAGTCCGTAAAGTCCAGGAAAAGTACGCATTTTTTAAGGTTGGTCCGCAAGTACTGAAGAAGTATGTAAATCTCGAACATTTTTCGCATTTTGCGCTGCGCGTTCAGTTCGATCGTGTGATAGTTATGCAACGCTCTGTGCGTTGTCCGTCGGGCGTATTAGTACAATGTTAGCCCATAAGAGTGCGGTTGTTGTAGAGGAGCGGAACAAGGCATTTCCCTCGATTTGACGGAAACAGCCAAAAATGCCTTGGGAATGGCCGAAGTAAAGCGCGCGGCAGTGCCAAAATTGAAGAATTGGGATACGTCGCGAAAAGTTACTTAAAAAGTACCTAATTTTTCCCCAAGGCGAGGTACTCAAATTTTTCCTTAAGTACTTAAAAAGTATTCATTTTATTTTTGTGGACCTCAGTAAACACCCTGGACAAGCTGTATATGCGGATCTTTTTAACAGTACAAGCTCGTAATTGGCACTGAGTCCTCGAGCATTTTCATCCTTTTTATCGTATTTTAAGATCATCTTGTGCAATTTCAAAAAAGATAATGAAGGTCATGAGGTTGATGAAAAGTATTGTTTCATCATTATGCTTAAGTTGTCAGCAAAGGAAAGAACTTTCTTCTACTGCTGGTAAATTTAATGGTTCCTGCTGATTTTTTCTGATCGAGACCATTTTCAAGGTCCTTGCCAAAATGACCCAATTAAATCTCCAAGCTAGACGTTTTTTAAATTAACGGTTCAAACACATGGTTGTAACCAAGACTTTTTGTGAAATATTATTCTTTTTGTTATGATGTAGCTATATCATCATTTTTCCTCAAAAAAGTCAATTGAGGTTAAAGCTCGAGAAATCGGTTTTAAAATGTACAATTCTATTTCACACACTGAATATGCCCAAGCCCCAGTGTTTTGTATTTTCAAAACTATTGTTCCAGGATCTCCATTCCTCTGCATGGTACTTATTCATAGCGTCCAGTCGTGCCTTCGGATTTTGGTTGGATGTCGTATGCTTGTTCTACATTGCAATAGTCACATTCAGCTTCCTTGTTTTAGGAAATGGTAAGCATCAAATTACTGTTTCTAAATTGTATGAGTTTTTTGTAAATTTTTACAATCATTCATTTCTCTTGCAGCATCCATTGTGTTTTTTCAATTATCAATTGTGCCTCTGTAAAGCGTATAATCAAGGCTTTATTTCCAAGCCCATTACATGCTGGAAGAACAATGCCAATGCAGTTTGTACAATGGAAATCCTTATCTATAACCATAACCTATGTGTATTCAACATTTTTCATTGTGCTGTATTCCAAAGCCTTTTATGAATTTTCTAAAAACATCAGAGTAGATTTAAGAAAAAGTATATGTATCAAGATCTCCCAGGGAAATTGAATTTTCACTCCCAGCCCTCTGTTCAGTTGTGCTTAGGAAAAGTGTTTATTTCAATATCCAAAGTTTCAATTTTTCAAAGTGCAGTAGGAATCCTCAGAATACTTTGTTTTACTCATAAAGTTTAAAAGATTGCCAAAATACTCTTTTTAGCCCCACAAAAAATTGCTTCTTTTGCTGAGTTGTCGCTACAGGGTTGCGGGCGGTCTGGATAATCGGGAAAGTGAGTGAATTTGCAGCGGCCGGGAAAAGTCAGGGAATTTAACATGTTTAGCATTTTGCAGAGGTGAGTGTAATTTTAAGGGAAAAAAATAAAAGTAGAAGTTTTATGCAAACGTCAGGTAAAGTTAGGGAATCCGAAAATTTTGGAGTCAGGGAAAAGCAAAAATAGTCTATGAATTTGAAGAAATTATGGCAACCCTGTACTAAAGGCAAGAAACAGGTTCTTTGATAATAAGTGTCCGATTTTTTTCCCTCAAACCTTGGAGGCTCTACACTTCTTTTAACTCATTTAAGTGACTTTAATTAAATATCAATTCATTAACTTGTTAGGTTCTTATTCTCAGTTTACATAATTTGACTAGAAATCTCAATCATAAATTTGTTTTCTTTCTTACAGAAAATTACGGAGGTAATGTAGGTCTTGCAATAACGCAGTCGATTGGTCTGACAGGGATGTTCCAGTGGGGCATGCGCCAATCAGCGGAGTTAGAAAACCAAATGACCTCTGTGGAGCGAGTTCTAGAGTACTCCAACTTACCTCAAGAGCCAGCCCTCGAGTCACCTCCAAGTAAGGATGCATCGTAAATTATTCCCAATTAATTTTTTATTTTTTTTTTGTAGTTAAAAAGCATACCATTTTGTAGAAAAACTTTCTACGTTTATAATTTCTTGCAAATTTTTACTGCTGCTCTACATTATTCATGAAGTTGCATGTTTTGTAGGATGCTTAAACTTTTGAGTTATTTTTTAACTCTGTTATCTATTTTGTCCTCATCATTTCCAATTCATATGTTCTGTAGAGTTTTTTCGTGTAAACCTAATTTTAACTTTTTCCTCAACAGATTCAGACAAGAAACCGCCTCCAGACTGGCCACAAAGAGGTCGTGTCATTTTCAGGAAAATGTTTTTGAGATACGTTGCTCACGAACCACCAGTATTGAAAAATCTCAACTTTACCATCGAACCCAAGGAAAAGGTGAGACTTTTATTGGTTAATTTTTATTTTTTTCTTTTTGGTTAGCGCCTTTCTTTTCCCTGAAATCATTCTTCATGAAAAGCAATTTCTTAAATTCGATTTTTCAGGATTAAATATCATCTCTATCTTCAACGTTACTGTTGCTACAAATCTTAATTAATCAACAACATCAAAATGGATGGGTAGATTGTATTACGGCTTATTTAATCCTGAAAGTTTCAAAAATTAGTATGTTAAATCACAAGCTTTTTTAGTTTATATTCAGGTAAAAATTTACTAGTATGCATAAAAGTTAATAGCATGTAGATAATCCTCAGAGGTAAAATGTTCGCCTTTACAAATTTTCTTTTCCTCCCTTCCTCAAAAAAAGGAAAATACACTGTCGAAAATTCCATGAGTAATGCATTTTGAAGCATCATTTAAAATTCTGAAGACATAGAAGTAAAAATGTCCACTTCTTCTCTCAATTACAATTTTATAATGCCCCAATGAGAATCATGATATTTTATGTAATCATGATTTTTTTCTGGCAGGTTGGTATTGTTGGTCGCACCGGTGCCGGAAAGTCATCTTTGATCTCAGCGCTCTTTAGACTGGCTTATAATGAAGGCCAAATCATAATTGATGATATAGATGTCGGTGAAATTGGCATTCACGAGCTTCGGTCTAAAATTTCTATTATTCCACAAGAACCAGTGATCTTCTCTGGGACTCTTAGACGTAACTTGGATCCGTTTGACGAATATCCTGATGCCAAAATTTGGAATGCTCTTGATGAGGTAAACTTTTTTTAGCTTTTTTTTAGATTTATGTTTGTATATGGGTCATAAGAATTATGTGGTTAAATTGATAGCTTTTAGCATTTCATAAAATTCTGGAAACTCGTGTGATTTGTTGAAAATTGAAATAGCTACTTTTTGTACCACGATGCAAAATACAGTACTATAGTTTGTATATAAACAACCAAGTGTGACTTTCCACAGGAAAATTGTGCAGGCATCTTAGTCCATGGAAGCAAATTTTGTCCAGTTGGGTGGAAACATCAATTTTTGAGTTTCCAATGAGTAAGGCTTTAAACTGCTGTAACTCTTGTGTTGTTAGGCGTTTTTGGGGGCTTTTGTTGTCCTCAACGCTTTGATGTTCGGAACTCAATTTTGAATTGTTGTGGACTGCAATTCCTTTTCAAGTGAATGGTTGCATGTACTGAAAAACCTATTCAGATTTTGGACATCAAAAGAATATGTATAATTTACTTACAACTTAATGACCCATTAATTACCTTAGCGCTGATTTCAAAAAGCTGAGCAATCCGTTTTTATCGCACATCATTTCGTAAAATGGAGTCAAAATTACCAATTCGACTAAGAAGTGCAAACAGCCAGCAAGACCTAGAAGGAAACAAAGTGTAGTTTTAAAATCCATGCCAAAATCTTTGTATTTAGTTAACATTGGCATGATTTGAGACATGTTTTTTTTTAAAGCATACCCAGAATGTAGCTGTCAAGAAGCTTTTACATTGTTCAAGTAAAATTAACCAAAATCATGATCAAATTACAGGTATGAGAGATTTATTAAGTGCAATCATTGGACTACCATTAGGAACCATTATTTTTGTCCCATTTATAAAAGCACCTACCTGCATAGGGATATGTATTGCTTGTATTTTGCTTCTGAAATGGGCCAGAAATAGTTTTTCCTTACTGTGAAATGTAGTCCTAATGCAATTTAAGAACAGTTGCTTATTCTGAAGTGCTACTTTAGAGCTACAGCTCCGCATAAAAACCGCTCAAAAAGCATTTTAAAGAATCAATTTCATAAACTCCAATTAAATTAGTATACAATTTTCAGAATGTCAATTTTTCGCCGTATTTCATTGTGAGTATTTCTGTAAACAGGTGGAGTTAAAAGACTTTGTATCGGACTTGGCTGGTGGTCTCAACACGAAAATGTCTGAAGGAGGTACAAATTTCAGTGTTGGGCAACGGCAGCTCGTTTGTCTAGCTCGAGCAATAGTTAGGAATAACAAAATATTAGTCATGGATGAAGCTACAGCAAACGTTGACCCTCAGTAAGTTCATTTATCTTGTTAGCATTGATTCGTTTTGTAAAAACAACAGGTAAATATTTCTTGGAAAATTCAAAGATATCACCTAAAATGCAGCAATCATGAATTTTTAACCTGTCAACAGCATTCTCTGCATTTTGCAGTGCTTAAAAACAAAAACTCATCATTATCATCTCAATTTGTTTAAAGCAACCTGTAGCTCTTTTTATTGCTTATCATAAAACATTTTATCAGCTCTACAGTTAATGATGAAGTTTTGATTTCACTTTTGATTCATTTTGTACAGTAGACTCGCAGCTAAATTTTTTCATCAGTAGACTCTTTGATACATCAAATACTTCCAGCTTTTGTTTAAAGTTGTTAAGATATGTTTAATTATGATTCCATTTTACTGAATGTGTGGCTTAACTGACATGTTGAGTTGCATTACTCAAGCAAAAAACCAGAAAACCTTGAATTTCCAGCAAAAAAATAGATGATGACCGTTGCTGAGTAGTCCAAAGAATTTTGAGAAAAAACAAATAGATGTTCTTCGAGGGTT